TTCACATTCTTGTCCCTGTTCAATTACCATTCAGGAGTAAAAGTTTATGGCCATTTTTCTGGTCATATAAAGCATTTATAATTACTTTGTGGTTCCTCATACAGAATTGTTCTTTAACTTTACCCCTTTCTCATTGTGTGATCCTCCTTCCATAAGGAAAGTGATACTTATTCCACCATAGCTCTGGATTTCAAAGTAAAATGGACTGAAACAGCTTGAAAGGAAGGGGCATTCTATACAGATTGAGATTAACATTGATTCTACACAATTAGCTCTTCGCAGTTAAACATCAATTCGTTTTCATATTTTTCCAAAACAAACCGCTCCTTTGAGATTATAATGCTTGTAACAGAGCATTTCTTGTCTGAAAACGGTTTTCTACCTGTTCTTCCAGCTCGATGAAGATAATCAATAGCAGTTCTTGGCAGATCATAGTTGTATATATGAGTAGTTTCTGGCAAGTCAAGCCCTCTGGCTGCTATATCCGTTGATACAAGAAGATAGCTGGCTCCTTGTCTCACTTCCTAAATTAAGTAAATAGACCCATCAGAAGATTTCAACATGAAAAGGATTGCATACAAAAGACCAATAGTAAATGGTAGCATATTTGGAAATTTTGGATGCTTTTAAAAGGCAACTCAGAATATCAAAATGTATTTCTGTTTGAGGTTTTCACACCCAAAACTTTGGGTGTCCATCTCAGTTTCTATCACTTGTCTGTCCACTCAGCTATACAATTGCAAATAATTAATTGCCCGTATCTGAAAATTCAAAATCTAATGACAATTTTAAACATTTTTAAGACCTGCCTTTATCATACGTCTGCTTTTCCAAAGATGGCATTACCTAGTAGACCTCAAAGTCGATCCCATATGACTATAAATTCATAAAAAAATCAAATATAACTAATACTACTTTAGTGGAATTGAACATGATTTACTGATTCAGACCAAAGAGAAACATGTAACTTACAGACAGAGAAGCTGCTCGTGAATTGAAATTCATGTCTTCTTCCAAAAGGAGGATGTCTGAATATCCCTCATATGAAGCCTTCAAGAAATTAATTAATAGAGTTGCTGACGGAGCATTTCCAGCCTTTTTTGACTTCTCAGACTGACCAAATAGATAAAAACTTATATATTAATAGAATGGAGAGCCCATCTATATAATTCTAAGGAACAAGAAAAAACAAATTTATATTATATCAAAACTTACAGATTGTAAGTTTTAAATACATATCTTTTCTGTAAGTTTTAAATACATATCTTTAACTCGGTCCTTGTCATATATGAACTATGTCTAAGTGACATCTTATTAGAGGTTTAATTTCTGGGTAAATAATTAATACAACTACAAAATACTTAAGTTCAAATCAGATTTGAACCCAGCTTCAGCACAAGATCATGAAAAATAAAATCACATAGAAGGATATGTGATGCAAACCTGCTCACCAACAAAAACAATAGCAGATTGTGGTGCATCCGACTGTAACAAGGACAACAAGGTCTCATGCCTTCTGTTTTTTAGGCATGTCTGTTAAGTATGAACAGAATTAGAATATCATTAAGAACATAGATGCTCCTAAACAATCTCAAAGAGGACAAATGGTGAAAAAAGTACAGAAAAAGCAGGATTATAACATGATTTAGTGACAGGTAAACCAGAAAACAGAATGGAGTAGATTACATGTTTTAAGAATTTTCTTACCACAAATCTATGATGTAAACATGATGGCATAGGCTCAACTGGATTGACATGGACATGAGTTGTATCATTCTGTAAAGTACATACATACTGTTATGCAAAATACAAGAAACTAGAGGTAGCATTGTATGAAATCCAAATAAAGGTGACATGGAAACAAGAACTATATCAGCAAACCTTGGTCCATTTCTGCTGTATACACTTATCTAAAAAGATTTTGTGCTGAGGAATGGAAGCACTGGCAAAAACCGTCTGACGGGTATTGATTGATGAATAGGAAGTCAAAAGCTTCCGAACGGAACTGACTTGTTTGGAACTGAACATGAAATCAACCTAACCAAACAGTGAATATAAGACATTAGTTTATTCAAGAATCATTTTCAGACAACCTTGAATAACCTTTTAAACAACATATCACTCTACTCATAGAATGTCCCAGCTTCCATATAGAGTTGAAATTTCAAAATCTAAGCCACAAGAAATAGCTAAGGAACAATTAAACACCAAATTGCGTTCCAGTTTACCTCATCAATTACCAGCACTCGCATTGCTTCAAGCTTAATCATATGCTTCTCAAGCATTTGGCACAAACTCCCAATCGTTGCCACCACAATAGTAGGGGGCTCCGCCTGAAACATTGAACCACCGAATAAAGCTCATCATACAAGTACAAAATAATTCTTTTCGATATCATGTTAACAATGTTAGTATCTAGTCCATAACTATCAATGGAGAAAAACTTAAAGAAAACTAAATAGACTAGAATGTAGCACCTTTAACCAACTCTTGTGCCTCATCAACATTCCTCCATCTAAAAGAGCCATAACAGTACAGGATTTCTGCTCCAATTCGCCTTCCTTAGGCTTCGTAGCCAACATCCGAGCAACCTTTGTAACCTTGCACACACATAGAGTCATATTGTTCAACTCACTTAGAGGAAATGATCATAACCATAGCATACCATACGATACAAATACAACCATTGTAAAATTGCACAAGAGAATCAAAGTCTTAAAGTCTTACTTGCATGCCAAGCTCCCTAGTGGGCACCACAATGAGAGCTTGAACAGCTGATCTTCCAGCGTTCACAATAGAAAACACCAAAAGAAGGTATGTCAGCGTCTTCCCAGAACCTGTCTAGAGGACCAAAATTCACGGCAAGATTCAAACTTGGCTACAAAAACACACCTAAAACATCTAAAAAATCAAAGGGTTTACGAATTTGACCTGCGCGTGAAGAATACAATCGCGGCCTGAGAACAGAGTCGGCAGAGCTTGCCGTTGTACGGGCGTTGGTACAACGAATCCCAGTTCCTCCATTCTGCAAAGCACGTGGTCGGGCACGTGGGATTGGCAAATTTGGCGGAGGGTGAAGGGTTCTGGTTCGGAGCCAGCTTTGGTTGTGATAGGTGTGGAGTTCAGAAGTGCCTGTATTGGGCTACAGTTGGATACGAAGCCATTGGAGGAGAAGAGTCTAGGACTAGGGTTTAGGGATTGAAAGGGAAAATGGGCATGACGGGGTTTTTGAGAGGGTTTAGGGAGTGACAGAGGGAGAAGCTGAGTAGCTGAAAGTGTAGCCGTTGCCATTGACAGAGTAACACTCCAGTCTCTCAGTTCAGACTATTTTAGCGTGATTATCTCTTCGATTATATAGGTATGCCAAAGTAATTATGAAACTAACGCCTCTAGCACAATAGAAAATGTCAATGACTCGTCGCATACCAATAATCTCAAGTTCGAACTTTCCTATAGAAATTTTTTTGACTCTTAAATATCATGCAGTCTTAACAGAATAATTAAATATTCATTTGAAATAATAATTAGTGGGGATATTCTTCAATAAACATTAAAGTTAAGAATTGATTACATACTTCTAATCTTGGGCGTTGAAATGCATTCATTAAATGTGTTGGTAGTCTCTTGAATGCAATTCAACGCCCAAGATTAGAAGTATGTAACCAATCCTTAACATAAAGTACTTATTGGAGAATCTTCCTAATTGGTGATATTAACTCTTTGAAGCCCTAAAATGTGCAACTTAAATAGTTTTATCTTTTATTTTTTTTGCTTACATAGTTTTATCTGTTATGTTGTGATTGCATTGCATGTTTATTTATTGTTGTTTTTTTCATTTAGTTTCTATTTTATATTACTAGATGCATTTTGAGGTATACAATTCATTACATCCTCTGATTAGGTGTATCATTTTTTGTTATCAATGAAATTCACCCGTGTTGTCGAATTTTTTTTGTAAGTTAAATCCAGACCAGTTCATTTTGAAATTATAGATACGTCCCTGATGACATCTTCATAATGTGTGTTAGAAAGAAAAAAATCATCAGCAAAGTGTTTTTTTAACAAATTGCACTCAACACCTCTAACTCTTACAAAATCAATCGAATGAAACTTTTTGCCGGTAGAGATCCACGTCAGTTCGAAGCTGTATGGGTGGAGTTGTTGGACGGTCAATCCAATGACGAGTTCGAGTTCTATTGAAGCATGTAATCAAATCTAACATAATTGGACCTTTCGTTATGGCCCTTATACTTTTCTGCATTTCTTCTAAAGTGCTTCTTATTTGCAGAAATCTCGTTTTGCCTCCCAAAATCGCATGTCATGCAAGCTTAAATATTGCTTTGGATAGTTAGAAAGTCAAAAAAGCCTCATATAAAAAATACTTTGATTTAGAATGTGCCAACAACTTACATGAATTAGGTGTTTTATATTTTTTGACGATTTTTTTTTTATATCCTTTAGGTATAAGAAAGTTGCATTTTTCAGTTCAAGTAATGCACCTTCTTTTGTTTCTTTTGATGAGTTAGGTGGTGTGCTACTTGATTATAGATTTCACCAATAATGGCATAAAAGAAACCATACTTGCTTTTCATGAGATGTATGTTGCCATTTGTCATTTCTTTGCCAGACTTTAGTTTACTTTAGCTCAATTTATTTAGATGGAAAAATGCAAAAAGTTGATAAAACGTAAAAACGATTTTCAACCAAATTATTGCTAATTGTTAGAGGCAGACGTGGACTTAGTTAAGTTGACTATAGCAGGCGTGCACTGCACTCTACACCGAATCTGAATCCTCAGTTTAGATTAGATTAAAGTAGAATATTAGTTGTACCAACAAAAAAAATTGCTAAATGGTAGAGAATATTTCTTATTGATTTATATTTAAGGCCTCAACCTGGCAATGGCATTAAAGGCTAAAAGGTTTATTTCTTGTTTAGTTTTTGGTAAGAAAACTGCAAAATAGTGGTTGCTGGCTTGCCTTGCCAACAATAATCCAAAACTAAAGGAGCAAATGATAAAAAGAGATCAAAAGAAATTTAGAGATTATATAAATAAGAACTGAGTTTTGATTCCATCAAACCAAAGCGTGTGAATCGGTTTAATTGCTGAGTTTTCTGAACTTTTCATCTTTCTCCTCCTAAAATTCTTTACTTTGACCCTTTACTCTTTCATTCTCTCTTTGCAGCACTTTTCTAGGGTTCCTTTCTTCGTCTTCTTCATCCACAATCATTCTTCTCCTCCTTCATAAAGTCACTCCATCTGTACCGTTCTCTGTGTCCACATTCTCTCGCTTAGTACACTGTTCAAAATGGCCTCTTTCGCTCCCTCTTCTTCTCTGAATCCGAAACCCGTTTCAGCTCTATCTTTTTCTTCTCCAGATGTTGTTGATGACAGCTATGAAGACTCCTGCAGTATCTGCCTTGAGCCTTTCAACTGCGATGACCCAGCCACTGTATGATCCTTTAAAAACTGAATTTTTTTTGTATTTTTGTAGAACTCAGTAGTTTTTGCATACCCAACTGACAGTCTTACTGGATCAGTCTTGTAGTGCTGATCATAATGTTGAAAGTTAAATTACATGTGGTACTGGTACAGTTGAAAAAACTCTGATTTTATGTTCTTACAGTTGCTTTTGGATTATTAGCTGATTGTTTGCTTCTTTCTGGTAGCAGAAATAAACTGCGATCTATCTATTGTCAGTTTTTCAGTATAATTTTAAGCTCCATTGGCTTCTCTGGAAAATATTCGATATGGGATAATCTGCAATCTTGTGTTTCATTGAAATTCTGTTCTGGATGCATGGATTGATATGTTATTATCAAAACGCATTTGAAATTTAGTCTTCACCTCCCCCGCTTGAGTAAAATATATTATTTTTCAACTCAATCTTTAGGATTCTTTTGTGGGATTAAATGGAAATGAAACGGTAGGAATGCACTTAGTTTTGGATTGTGTTTTTGAGACCCAATTGCACTTCATTCTTTTCGCTATGGCAACAATAATATTTATTCCTTGTAAAAAGAAGTTATCGGTGATGTGAGGATGTGCTCTGACGATTGTGATCATTCTATTTTGCAAAAAACTGGATATCGTGTAGAGGATCACGGAAACATAGGATGGATATTAGATGTCCCTTGTTGCAAAATATGTGCTTTGTCTGAAAGTTTTGTAGCTAGCTTAAAGTGACTCGTAGGTTCAGATGTTAAACTGAGTGTTAACTCTTAGAATTTCTTCTTGTTTCAGATTACCAGCTGCAAACATGAGTATCATCTTCACTGTATTTTAGAATGGTAATCCCAATTTACTTTATGTATGGGTTTTGTCTTATTTATCTTGCCAAGTAATACATTAGTTTTGTCCTCCAGCCATGTAAGTTGTGATTGAGTATTTCTTTGGTGAGAATGATTTTTTTTCTTATTGATCTTGATCTTCCTTTAGGTCACAAAGAAGTAAAGAATGCCCAATTTGTTGGCAGTTACTTGTCTTGAAGGATCCTGCTTGGTATGGAAATTTCTAAAATTCATGCATGTGTCACTTCTTGATTTCTTTCTGCTATGTTTCCATTAATTATTTTGTGGTGTAGTCAAGGGCTTCTAGATGCTGTACAAAATGAGAGGCGCTCAAGGTCCAGAAAAATATCTTCCATGGCCCCCCAGACTTTTCATCATTCCTATGAGGACTTTGATGTTGAGCACGTAAGATCTCAGTGACATATAATAAATTTGTAACACTTAGTTATTCCTCGTTGAGAACAGGTCTTTCATTGACGAAAAAAATTGAATTTTCAGGACTCTTTCTCAGATGACTCTGATTTGGATGAGCGTATTATGCAGCATCTTGCTGCTGCTTCAAGCAGAGCTCGTTACATTCGCAGACGGGAAAAACAAAGATCTTCTGGCCTAGGTCCTTCCCATGTTTTTATTTTCTCCCCTCATGAAAATGGGAGTGGTATGCAGCAAACACACCCAACATCTCCAGAAGAATGCCAAAGTTATGGGTCACCTAGAGGTGATTCACCAATTTCTCAAAGGCCACCTGTTATTCAACCTCCACCATCTTTTATCTGCAGCACTGCCGCCAATAGTGATGTCCCTTACAAACCAAGGTATGCGCCTAGGGCTAAAAAGTATTTCCCTCATGTGGAAGTGCATGAATTTATTTTTTGGAGCCACATACTCTAGAAGGGGATATATGTTCCAGGAAGCTCACGAATTCAAAACTAGTAGTCATAGCAATAAACTGCTTTGTCTTAATCACCTGGAATGCATTTTGCACCAATATAGTGCTAAGTGTTCTTGCTTACATCACATGTATATGATCTAGACGTGGTTCATCTTCTCCATTGTCCACAGTATTGTATTCATCTCCTTTTCATCTTCCTGTGGCTTACCACTTCTTTGTTATTCTAGAGTGCTTTATGGCCAGTCATCACCTGATGTTCCACGCAGACAAAGCCCATCTGAGATGATCAATTTGCCTGATTCTATCAAATCCAAGTTGTCTGCTGCCTCAGCCAGGTAGAAATTCTACTACCATGCTTCACTTCAAAGTGGATGTTTACTCCTTTTATCTGTTTTATACTTACATGCATATATGGTGATTGTGAAAGATACAAAGAGTCAATCTCTAGAAGCACTCGAGGCTTTAAGGAGAAGCTAGTTGCTCGTAACAACTCAGTCAAGGAGCTCAGCAAAGGAGTTCAGCGTGAGATGAGTGCAGGAATTGCTGGTGTTGCACGAATGTTTGAGCGCTTAGACCTTACCCCAAAGAAACCTGGAGCCCCCACTCCAGTTTCTGGTCGTAATGGAGGCACTTCAAACTTCAAGGGAAAAGGTGTGCTAGAAAATGTTATTGTTCAGTCTTGTAACAAAAGTAGCGGGAGAATCGCTGATGAGAGTTCAGATGGACCCTCTCACATCACAGTTGCTGCACCAGGCCGTGTTGGTGTTGAAATTTCTTCTGCACAGGTATCATAATTTTACATTTTGGAACAATTTTTTTGATTCATTAGTTGGTAATTTATAGTGAAGATATGAAACTATGTTCAAATATAGAAAGAACAAGATTTTGATCCTCTTCGCCTTCCTTGAAGCAAATTAATAGCAACAATTTGCAGAATCATCCCATTTATCTGAACTTTATTTGCTTTTGTATTATGTGCGAAGCAGCACTAACTTGTACCCGCTTTTCTCACAGAGCGAACACTGATACAATGAAGTTTGGATTTGGCTCCTCGACTGATGGTTTCTGTCTTAACTCTCAAGCGTAAGGCACGTGTTTTACCTCTCAAGCATTAGGCATAATCATCCCATTTATCTGAACTTTATTTGCTTTTGTATTATGTGCGAAGCAGCACTAACTTGTACCCGCTTTTCTCACAGAGTGAACACTGATACAATGAAGTTTGGATTTGGCTCCTCGACTGATGGTTTCTGTCTTAACTCTCAAGCGTAAGGCACGTGTTTTACCTCTGAAGCATTAGGCATATCAGCAAGTGACGTTATGCGAAGAGCCAAGCTGCTGGTTGGTTTTGCGTCCTGCATTGCCTATTTATGTGAAATAGAAACCATAGTTCCATATGGATGAGTTATTTGTCCTGCCCTACAATTTTTTTCCTTTGTTGCTTAGTATTAAAGGGATTCTGGGGGAATTCTGTGCCAGTTGCCTCAGGCCATCGACTGTTTAAACTTATTTTATTATAGTATACTGTGTTTTGCTTCTTTGTTGAATCTTGTTTAATTCTCATAACCCGTTATCGAAATTTTGACTTATTTTTGTTGAAAAAAGGGGCTAGAAACTCCATTCGAAAAATTAAAGGAAAATAGGCGGCTTTGCCCCTGGCTCTAATGTTTTATTCAACAATTGATGGCTTGACTGTGACCCGAGCAGAGGTGGAGGACGATGCTGAGTTGTTGTTGTAGTTACTGCTGTTGTTGGTGGTGTTGGCGGTGGCTAATGGTGTGGATGAGGAAGATGGGTCTTTGGACCCATGAAAAGAAGAATATGGAGAATTGGGAATTAGGGCTGGGAATTAGTGAGAGAGAGAGATGCATAATTGGAGTTTCATCACAGATAGAGCATAGCATAGAAGAGAAGAAGTGAAGAAGAAAGCAATTTGGGGTTTCATCTGAACTTAAGAGAGAGCGGAGAAGAAGAATTTTACACAACCAAAAAAAGAAGTTATAAAAAGGTGATAAGGGCCCAATAAGTAGCCTTTATAGAGGGTGTTTTTGAATGAGTTTCAAAAAGAGGGCATTGTTTACGTTGGAGCCGGGGCAACAACAAACGTTGGAGCCAGGGCAAAGCCGCCTATTTCGCAAAATTAAACAATGGGTAGAGAGAACCAGCTCAAGACAGAAACACAAGTCAGCTAATCCATGTATAGAACAGACCCAGCTTCTGTTGATATCCTCTTGGCATCCCAAAAACATAGTGGCAAGAGGATGAAATCTTCCACAACTTTATAGATAAGCTGATCCGCAATGCTGCATTGTAGCCCATATCCCAACCAATTCTGAGCCCAAAATAGATTCTCATGTCATAACTCAGCTTCTAAGACTTGACCATAACCAAGATTAGCAGCAAACCCTCTAACCTACTGCCCAAAATAGATTCTCATGTCATAACTCAGCTTCTAAGACTTGACCATAACCAAGATTAGCAGCAAACCCTCTAACCTACTGCCCAGAGCTCTCTTACTGCCCAAAATAGATTCTCATGTCGTAACTCAGCTTCTTAGAACACCACCACCAGCAAAGCGACCTTCTCCTTTTCTGTGCTAATTTTAATCACTCCAATAGAGAATGGCCAAAGATCGCACGGGTTTCTTAGATTTTCAGTATTGGCATGTTGCCAATCTGCAGCAGCCACAATAATTATATGCAAGAGATATTGGAAGAGAGGGATTCGAACACAAGACATTTGGTGCATGGGTAATTGCTCTTAACCACTTGAAAGCTACAAGCCCTTAACGTTGATTAATCGTTCTTTGTTGTTCAAAATGAATGGTTCCATTCTAGATTAATTTGCTCTCTCCCGAAGTCCAAAAAGATACAAGTACAACGGTAGAGAAAGGTATGATAATCTAGGGAAACGTTAATGGCCAAATCTTGGCACAATGGTGGAAGCAGGCGTGTAAGTGCAAATTTATACAATGCCTTTGCTAAACTAGCATGGTCATAAAGAGAGGTCCACGACTTATTTCCAAACAGCACAGACTACAGAGGTCCTCGAGTAATTGTTTCAAATTCAAAATCTTAACAGCACAAAGTTATTAATTGCCGTCAAAACTAAAGTAGCTCTAGATCTGTCCCAAAATAACATCCCCTCCAGAAACCTTGAAGTCTGATGGGACTTCCTCCACATTTAGAACTTTAACCTTCCCGTCAACCACATATGCCGACCATCTGCATAATGAGAGAGCAAATTTCTTCAAAACTGGGAAATTTTAACGGCTATAGTATACACTGCCAGACTGGATAAAACCTAGGGAGGGTGACCCTTAAAAGAAATGAGAGAAATGGGGAGGGCGTGGATAAAACAACTAGAGAATAGTCCATGGATTAAACGGAGTCCAAGGCAATCTCATATTTCCATTTTGTTATTCAAAAACACTCAATTTCAAATAATATGCACATAGGACTAGTGATCATACCTTTGAGAGCGAGGTCCAAGCAAAGCACCAGAGAGATCTTTATCCAATTCCAAGCTTTTGTGGAAGCTCCCATCAAAGTCCCCATAGAACTCAATCTATTTAGCCAAATTACAAATAATTAAAATGATGCTGCACTAATTACATGGAAACAATAATTCACTATTGCGTCAAAGGAAAACTGAATCTCACTATTGCTAGACTTTGGAGGAATTTCCAAATGTAGTATGTAACTGTGTACAAGCACAAACAGTTATCAAACTTAAATGTGGCCTAGCCTGCCAAAGATGGCCGGTCCCTTATTTTCTTAAATTACTCGAGACAATTTTTAAAAAGACAAAGATGGCCGGTCCCTTATTTTCTTAAATTACTCGAGACAATTTTTGAAAAGTAAACTTCACACAGAAAGATTAAAAAAAAACCTGATCGTTCTCCAAGTTATCCTTGAGACAGACTCATGAAATGAAATATATTATAACTGCTCAGTACAAGGACTATGATTAACTACAATTCGAAATATGATTTTGGAAATGATGATCCATGAGTCATGAGGCCAGTGGCCCCGCATCTACAACCTAGGCAGGAAAGACATCCATTTATATACTCTTTGCTTGAAATTCAAGTCACTAAGAGTAGTGTAGATTAAAAACATACTTATTTTGGGAAATAAGAAGTTGGTACTTAATAAAAGGAATAACTTACAGCATCTTGGGCTTCAAGTTTGTTTGCCCAGCCACTCATAACATATGGATCATTAACAGCTACACAAATCACAGAATCGATCCCTTTAGCCTTAAACTTATCAATTTGCTTCTTGTAACTAGGCACATGCTGCTGAGAACAAACGCCCGTGAAGGCACCCTGACATATTGCAAACAAAAAACCCATGTAAATTCCTCTTTCTACAAACTTCTAGAATTCAGAAATTCATGCTTTTGATTCATATTTTATTCAATATTTTAGGGTTTCGCTAAAACTAAATGGGGCTTGTCAATGTCAGTATAAACGTGAAAAACAAAAATTGCACCTGCAACACTAACTAACCAGTAACCACTACATCAAATTAAAAACCCATGACATAAATAGAGAGGGGAACTTACAGGGAGACCAAAGATGACAACTTTCTTGTCCTGAAACACAAAATTTCACAAAAAAGACAACAAATTTGAGCCTCCAAAAAGCTTGACAATTTACTTAATTGTAAAGTAAATAGAAATACAAAAGCAAAAACCTTGAAAATGTCTTTGAGAGGAGTGGTGGCGAAATTGGAGGAGACGCCTTCGTCCCAGGTCCGAGCTTTCTGGAGGGAAATATTGGGTGCGGCCGAGACTATGTCGGTTCCGGCTGCAACCGCCGCGTAGGCTCTTGATTGAGCTCCCATTTGGAAACCTCCGGCCACTGATTTCATTGCAGAGTAGCTTACTCGCTTCAGAAGTGTGGACGCCATTGCTTCGCAGCAGCTGAGTTTTCCGAGTGGTAGCTCTAGCTCTGGTTCGTTCGTTCGTAGTTTGTAATTAGTTCTATAATTCAGGGACGGTGGTAGCTTTATTTCATTTCATGGGCAGATAGTAATTACGGTCTGTCGGAGGATCCTAACGGTCTTTACGGTCCTGCTCACTTGGGCTTGGCGCTGAGGCCTTAGAGTAGTCACGTCTGGATGACCTATTATAATTTCATTTATGGGCTAGTATGGGCTATATTGAACATAAATTTTAAACATGAAACCCACAACTCCAAAACTATGTCGTTCTGATCAGAAGAACAATTTCATTACAAGTTTCCGTAGCTCAAGTGGCTAAGAGCATTTTAGATAGGTTGGGACAAAAATAAAAACTTCCATCATAAAATATAACAAAGTTGCAAGGAACTTGTAACTCAAGTGGTTAAGAGTATTTACTCATGTACCCGAGGTCATAGGTTCAATTCACCCCTCTCCTAGTATGGCTTGTATAAAAAATATATATATACCAACACCTAATTATTAATTTAAGGTTTTAATCACACATTTTTAAATACAAATGTCAGAACTTCTAATTACTACATGGGAGGGGGAATTATCAGACACACACACAATTATAATGTCGTGGGGATTCGAACATAAAACTTCTGATCTGCAAGGCAAGACCCTTTTCCACCGGGTTAGACTTCGTTGACTCATAACATAATTATAGTTGTATTCATATTGTAATTATGCAAAAACGTTTCTATTCTAATTTATTTTTTTAAGTTTTTTTTTTTTTTGAGAGGATTTTAAGTTTTTTATTTATATAATCAGTTTATTGAAAGAATACGGAACTGAACCAAGGTGGTTGGTGTGAGTGGTTCGGCACTCTCATTCCTTAAGAGAGGTCAAGGGTTCGATCCCTGCTCTTGTACGGAGTCACCACTTTGGTCAGCACTTTACCCCTTAGGGGCCGACTCGGTGTGAGCGGGGATTAGTCTGGGTTGTGGTTAAGGCTTAAAGGTGCCACCCATAATTGGGGCCCATTCAGGACCCCCTCGTGGTTCAGACAAAAAAAAAAAAGAATACGGAACTGGTGGATTGGCTCGTGATCCACTGATAAGACCTAAACCATACATTTGTTGGTTGGCAAGTCACTAAGCCAAACAAAACCCAGCCCGCAACATGGGTTTTCTAGACCGGCCCACAGTCCTACTTCAATCATCTATCAATAGGCTGTAGCCAAACATGATCTATAGGGGTCACATCTGTCCTTTATCATCCTCCTTTACAACGATTATAAGGTTTTTGAGAGAGATTGACATGAAATATGAAGCAGCTATATACATGTTGTTCTTGCCACTACTTTACGTGGTTTAGAGTTTCATCTTTTTTTCTTACCTTTCTAAGTGCTATTGCGTCATATCATTCTCTCTCATTTGGGAGAAAAACTTACCTGTGTTAAGATGTCTTGCATTATCATGTGTTTCAATGTTCTAGTATACGATTAATTTGTAATATTGTCACAATAACATCCCCGTTATATGAAAGTTCTTTTCCTTTCCTTGCGTGATATGCTTCAGGACTTGTGACTTATTGTTGTGGTGTTCACTTTTGAAATGAGCTTTTCAATTTTAAGACATGGACACAAACTGTGGGTGGGGAACCACAGGATTCATTCTGTTCATTAAATTATTCACCGATTGTATGAAAGTTTGGCACATTGATGATCCCACCACAGATGGGCAAGTGCTGCTACTAGATCTCTGATCTCAAATCTCAAATCTCACCCCAACCCAAAAAGAAAGAAAGAAAAGAAAAGAAAAGAAAAGGAAAAAAAGAAAGTGCTAGCTAGATCTCAATGAAATTTCAAAGCAAATATTCCCTGACAAATAGTGTTCTTATTTCCTTCAACTTAATTTGTCGCTCTCATTCTTTTTTATTATTCCAACAACAACAGGTTTGAAAACATTTGTTTTGCAAACTCAAAAGAAAGCTATTAGTTTACTGAAGCTCTCAGTTCATATCAGCAGACAGGGTTTGCATCAAAAGTGAAAAGTCTCATGTGGGCAGAGGGGCTGCCAGTAGGAAGCGACATCATTACAGATTTAAAAAAACATGGTGCCAAAGAGAAAACTACTCAAAAATTGACCTCCAAAAATGAAAGCAACACACCTTATGAAATGCATGCAGTTGCAGTACTGTATAAAAGTGACATGCTGAGTAAGAGTCTGATGTGTTTTTGTTCTTTTTTCAAAACCTGGAGAGATTTTCAAATGTAAATCCTGTGTCGGGAATGCGACGCATTGCCTTACATTGCATATTTCTTACTATTTTGTCTCGAAATTTAACTAAAATCAAGTGGTGTCAATCGATTTTAAGTTGGATGCTCTAATTTTATGACAAATAACCAAAAATTTTGTGCCGTATGGGAGTAGGATTTGGTAATTATGCATCAATCAGACACTCTGTAACGAGTCTATATCGATCTCAGGACATCATGTAAGTTGAGAGAGAGGAAAGAGATGAGTGACCAATTATGTCATGATTAAAGAGAAATTTGAAAGTTGATGCCTGCAATGATGCAGCTCCCCTGCCAACGGTCCTAATAGATTCCCATATTAAACAAGAGCTATGTTGATACGTAATGAATAGCTTTCCTTTAGGTTGATTTGCAACCAGCCAAATTGCTCACATGCTGTCACATCTTTTTTCTTCTTCTTTCTTTTTCCTTCTCATTATTCCTTGAATTAAAACAAAACCAAGATATTTTCTTCCAATTTCAGATCCAGCAAGCTAACAAGGTTTGTTTTCTGTATCTTGCAGCTCAATCTTTCTCCAAGATTTCTTTTTCCCCAGTTGGATTTATGCTCAGTAACTGGGGCCACTTGGTTTGATGTCAAACATCAAACTACTTGTTCTTCAAAAGCAGAACACTGTATAACTCTCATAAGAAATGAATTAAGATCTAGTAGTTCTGCTGTCTTCAATCAATTTAAGATAATCCCACTTTGGACAAGTAAATTAATTACATTATTGACTTATTAGTCATCTATTGAAATAAAATTTGAATAAAACAATTTAATTAATAGAATCAATCTAATGAATTAGAAAATTTCATCCTATATCCAACCTAACAATCCCCATACATGTCCGCAATTCTAAGGGTACAAACCTTTGGTAAGCCTCCCCTTGACAGAGTAAAGAACGAAATATATAGCTTTTCCTTGCCTTGCCATACATGTATATATCATCACCATAACATAAAATAGTAGCATCATAAAACCCTTGCCTTGCCCATGTTAGGCAAAGGGGCTCATCTGTAGAAATTTTATTGCATTGTACACTTCATGATTAGGTTCTAATCTCATCCATTTTTGGGTCTAAAAGCACAGTCAGAAGATACTTTGGAAACCATCCTTTTGTGATGATCAGCTTGTGATGATCTGTGGGATTTTGTGTTGTATGAAGCAAACCTTCCCTGCCTGTGCTTTCTTCTTGGCTGAGATGACTGGGGGATAAAAACTCCTGTTCCTTTGGTTTCTCTTCTGCAGGATTGTTCATACAGAAAAGTAGGTTGTGCAGGTGGATGATGGATTGCACAGGAGAAAGCCTGAAAATTGAAGCACAGTTAATTAATACATGTGATGTTGTTTCAAAACAAACCTACAAGAACCATATAAAAACTGAAACTCAAATATGATAAGTAAATGCATGAGGAAATGCCATAATGAAAATGATGTGTGTATGTATGTACCTGAAGAGAAACTGAAGGGCAAGTTGCAACAGGGTCCTCATCATCATCCATAATTAGCAGAGAGATTTGCCTAGTTAAGTCTGCAAAGAACAAGTCATCTTCAAGCTTTTCCATGGTTACTTCCAGATCTTCTTCTTAATCTAGAAATTGGGTAGTGTTTGTTGTCTGTGTTAAGCAGACTAAGTGAGGAGGGGTTTGAAGTCTTCCAATCTAACTCTCTTCAAATCTATGGGAATCAGTCTGATTTTAAATAGGAGAAAGCAGGGGATGGGTGGGTTAAGTCCCACTACACATGGCTTGTGCAGCCATGTGGGAATAGTGGGGTCTGAATGGCAGTTGGCCTATCTGTTTTTAAGTCCCACTGGGCCCTACAAGAATCATGTAGTGTGTCATCATATTATCCAGTTGCCCCAAAAGAGATGAGGAGCAGCAGGTAACACAACCCACACCCAGATATTCCATCCAAGATAGACTCAAAACTCTAGCAACCTACACACTAGGTTGTAAATGAGTTCTCTGCCTCTCACCCATATTTCCTAAAAAAGAACAAGTGTATGTTTCAAGATCCAACAAATAGTCCATATGTAAACATAGTACATATTTTAGTATAGTTTTCTTTGAAGGATCTAGATAAAGTTGAAGTTTCCAGTTAGGGGAGAAACTATTTTTCACTCTCAGATTCATACCTTGCATAAGCCAGAGATTTAAAAAAAAAGAAAAAAATTAATAAAAAAACAAAAGTGATGAGTACTTTTGAAAATGAAAGGAGCATGATGTCTGCCAAGGGTGCAAATAGCACCTCACCATTGTTAAACAACAAGTTGCTCAGACTCAACTTGCAAGAGCAAGACTGTAAATCTTTGTCAAACACAGCAGTCATATCTAGAAAATATATAATTTGAAGGATGCCTTAATTCCAATCTTAGATGCATTCCTTGTATAAGCCAGAAAAAGAAAAGGAAAAAAGAAAAGTGATGGGTACAAAATGAAAGGAGAATTTATTGTGTATGCATGAAAATCAACCACCAAGGGTGCAAAGAGCACCACTTGGTTCACCATGGTTAAGCAGCAACATGTTGGTCAGATTCATTATGCAGACTGTAAATCTTTGGCAAGCATCTGGTAGAGTGTGGCCCAGCAGTCATAAGTAGAAAATAGACTTGATGCCAGATAAATTTGATCATTTGTGTTCTTGGCTTTTTCTACTTCTTCATTCATTTCCTCTTTAAGAAACAGAGAGAGAGAGAGAGAGAGAGAGAGAGAAGAAAAATCAATAAAAGAGAATAGACAGAGCTGTCCTGTACTCCAAACTATGTCAGTCAGTCAATTGCAAGCATTAACCAAGTAAGATGCATTATTATTCTCTCTTTTCTTTTTTTCTTTGTTCTTTTCCACCTGTTCGTTCATAATCGTATATAGCTAGCTCTCGGCTGCATGCACTTTACTTTTCTTTGGAAAGCAAGTCTTGAATTATACGGTGTTGCTTGGTCCACATCCCATTTCCACACGGTTTCCTGGCTGGCATTGACTGAGCATTCTGGTGCATGCAATTTCATGACCCCCGCAAATTATATATATATTATAGAATTTTAATGAGGATTATTACTTTGAAATTTCCTCATTTCTTGGAGACTTGGAGTGGAATGTTGTAGTGGGATCCAGCCAGGAAGGAACCTTGAAGCTGATCATAGGGCTCAAATTAATTGGGGATTGATTTGTTGTTGAACCATTTAATATGGTATGAAAACCTCATCCTTAAGTTGTCATAATTTTATTCTATGGATAACTTGACAGCTGCGCATGCACAAGCAGCCTTTGGTACTCTGTTATCCAATTGACTTCTGTCTGAGTTTTCGATGGGATATTTGGAGAAGATCCGTGGCTTCTCCTTGGCCTTGCATCATAAGAATCTTTTGTGTTGAATTTTAGTAAAATTACAATGACATCCCTCATATTATGAAAAATTACACTAATATCTCCTATCAGAGTATGTTACGGAAAATTTTGATCTAGTTTGGCAATCTACCACTCATTTACTTATTGTCGGCACAAGCATGATATAAGGTAAATTCATTTAGGACATGAGGTCTGATTGACAACAGGAATTCATAACATAACCGTGAATCTCTCATCCAAAACACATTCCCATCCAAACAATTTTACTGAGGGCAACTTGAAACTGTAAAATCTCATTGCTCTCATGGTGATAATAAAAGATCAATGATCTTCAAAGACATATATTCGAAGAAAAAATTTACATTTTAGAATGGTATTCAAACCTTGCCTCACCAATTCCGCTTCTTGCTTCAATAGTTTCAGGGAGAGAATCTTCAAAAGCTTTGTGAGTTGGTCTTTAGTTACATCAAGGGAAAAACTTATGTCTCGCCTGCTGTATCCATATCTGCAATCCCATCAACTCCCTTGAAAACAACTCGTAGCTTTCTCAGACACGAAGTTTTCTTGTCGTTCTTGGTAGTTGTACCAGTCGCATGGACAACATCTTTGGGAATTTTACCAATTAGATCAAAGAGTGGTATGCTTAGGTTTGATCTGGTCATCTCTTCTAGTACGGGTGGCGCCTGCATGTACAGACTCTTCCCTCTATGTGTGATGCTTGCTTTCGACAATTGCAATTTAGGGTGATCTTTAAGTAGATCAATGAACTGTTGCCATAAAACTTGAATTAGGACAAGCATTAAAATAATCAAACATATGACTGATGCCTCAAATCAGAATTTCACTATGAGAAAAAATAATTTAAGCATTTAACAACATTTGCTTTGTTTTGACAAAAGAGAAGAGACTAGGAAGAACAGTCTAACAACTATGTTGATTGAGAAGTTGATACGTACGCAGTTTTACTGGCCAACTCAGTTAATTTAGAAACTAGAATGACTATTTGTTTCTTGAGAAACCAACCTTTTTGCAAACCACAAAAAAATAGGCTAAGGGTGACATAAAAAGAAACGCCAAGGAAGAACAATATCACTACTCAGATGGTTTTGAATATAAGTTAGGTCAAAAGGATTATAACTGGAAACATAGTAAAACATATAGCATGCATCTCCAAAGCATACTATAGCTTTCATCAGACAAGCAAAAGATTCCCATTGATCTTAGATTCTTAGGAACACTATAACCACAAAGACTATTATGCAAGACTCAGAAACATCAAGATGAAAGTTGACACCAAAACTAAATTTCTCAAGAGGTATTCTCAATCAAGAAGAAATACTTTTTGTTCATGATTCATAGGAACCAAAACCTAGCAACCAAAGGAAATTGAAAATAACCTTTTCCAAAGTAATTGAGGTGTCCAGCTGAATAAGAACACCTGGGCCGCATACAAGACAGTCTTTGTCCTTGACAAATTCAGTCACTTTAGTGTGGAGACCTTCTGCACCATTATACCTACAAAAGACTCTGATCATTCAGTACATACTGAAACACGTTTGATTAGAAAAAGAAGAAAAACCCACAAAAATCTGCAGCCATTCTCTTTAATGAACCAGCAGCTAGATTAACTAATTTGACAATGTAAGAAGATCTTGGTGGTTTGCACAACTTTCACATTGAATCTAACCTTTTGGGGCTCAACAATAATGAAATGCAAACTTGGAGGAATAAGATACATTTAAGAGAGAGGGAGATTCAGTAATTCTAAACTTTTTCGCAGGTGGTCATTCATTAATCCAATACATCAATTTGAAACCATAATATGACATCTGGACAAGATTCATAAGAATATACTGTCAGGTAATATAGAATAGAAAATGGAGCGCACGTTAAATAGTTTGACAGGGTTTTGCTGCATCCCGATAAAATCTTCAATGTTTCTAGCGCACATGCAGCTGATATAATCGCATTTGTGGAAGCAATAGCTGGTATGATGTTCTTCACAACACCCTGTAAACAGCAAAATCTGCTTATTACAGAAGGGACACAAATAGTAGTATCAATGCTGTAAAGCTGCAACTACATAGGTACCAAAAATTCCAAGTCATTTATCTTTCCCATATAAATTAACAGCAAAAGCCAAACCATGCCAGAAAATCTTAAAGAAAAATACTTAGGAGAAACAGACATCTGTAAGAATATATACATATATATGTATATACACACACATACCTGAGTAAGGGAATATGTAACTCCGGGAATACCGAAAAGCTCAGCTCTCTTGGTAGCCTATTGAGCAGCAAAATGAGTGTCAAAATGAAAATCCATAAAATTATCTTTCTTTAAATCACTACTTGATTGCACTTTATTGACCTCATTGTAGACCCACTTCATATGCTCTGGATCATCTGGATCAAAGGCCTTACCGCTATGTACCTATATGTAGAATGCACGTTTAGTTGGCACACAAGAAGTTGAGAACTTATGGAACAGTTTTAAGGTGCATGGAAAAGTAAAGCGGAAACAAACATTGAAATTGTGAGAAATGTCTTACCTCATCCCATTTAATTAAGTGAGCATATTCAATACAATGAGCAGCAGTTCTAGGGGTTTCTGCAAGGGTGCATAGAGGGAACTTCACTTGAGGTGGAAAAAGCCAGATGGTACACTCAAAGCATGGAGTGACCCCTGGCACAATGACCCTAGCATGTCCCTGAAAACCTTCAGTCCCACCATCTACCATAGGTTTGATTGTTTCTTCTAGTGCACTATCATCAGAATCATACTCTTCCAAATGGAAAAGAAAAAAGAAAAAAAAAATGTAACAGGCCACGTTTAGCTCAAGTATAGTACAGTAAAAACAAGTCATTTCAGGAATGATAAGTAATGGGTAGCATGGGATAAGACCTAGATAAAAATAATTTGAAAAGAACCTGAAAATTTCGTTATATAAAAGAGCATCAAGGCAAATTTCACCAAGAAACAAAGGATCTGTTACTAGAGATAAAAGTTCAAACCAAAGCTGAACCAATTTTGGCGCCTTAAACTTGCAATATATATCAAATATATCAAAAAGGCAAGCTTATTTACCAAAATCTATCCTCTGCAGGCTTTTCTAAGAACTATTCTATTCAAATCTATTCTCCCTGTTCTCATAAGGAAAATAAACTCAGTACTTATCAATAATTAGACAAAATACTACAGCAACAATTTAGGTCGAGAAATCATCATCACAGAATCAACAAGTGCAAAATATAATCACAGAAACCTGATTACAGGAGCATCTAAAGTCATGTAATCCTTCTAATAAATTACACAAACTGTTGGACAGAGAGACAAAATATGAGCAAAATGGATAGGTTGAGGGTACAAACCAAGAAAACTACAAGCAACAGAATTTATGTAGCTCCGAGCCTCAATGGAATCAAGACCGAGGGCAATAATGCTGAATTTGCTATAAAATTCAAGCTCTTTGTCCTCAATCCGGCAAAAATGTGGAACAATATTTACACCACTAACTCTTTCCATGACACGTTTTGCAGCCACCTCAGCCTTTGGCTTACCTACATCTTCAAGTCTACAACAATAACTTCATGAGCAAAGCATTTTAACAAGAAACTGAAATGCTAACTCTTTTTCTTTCTTTGTTTTTCATATTGAATATCAAAATAGATAATACCAAAGCAGATAAACTGCTAATATCGAAGTAAAACACACGAACATCAACAAAAGTTCACGATTGAGATTCCAAAAACAGGTTCATAGAACTTCAGCTAAGAGAAATTTAGCAAAACCATAGTATTGAGAGACTACACAGTTAGTGCATCACTTATGCTCCATCTTCCAAGCAAGGTTTACCATATTAGTTTTCAAATAATTTTTAGCAGTGAAATACAGTGAACTGGGTAATAAACTCGCATACATTCATGTAACTCACCCATTCAAAAAATACGCATGAGAAAGTTAAACATAAAAGCACCAAGAAAATCAAGTAACCTGAAAAGGAACTGGCGATTGAGATTAGAAACCTCGATGCGATCCATGTCTATAACCTCAAGTTTTCGAAAACCAGATAAAGCCAAGTCCTTGAGCAGTTCACAGCCCAACCCACCAGCCCCAACCACCAACACTCTCCCGTACTCTTTGAGGTCATCTCTCAGCTGCAACAAAATCAAAATAAGAAACCCAAAATCGTATAATCGATCAAAATACCCAGAATGTTACAGAGAGAGGGAAAAGGGCGAGAAGGGTTTACTGCGGGACCGGGTTCGAAGGTGGGTCCGACGAGATTGCCGGTTCGGAGGAGGAGCTTGTCGAGGTCCCTCGATCGGCTTTCTTGGGCAGTGGGTTCTGCTGCCATTGCTCTCTCTCTCTCCCTTCCACAGTGCCTGTGTGTCTTCTCCTGGTTGCTGTTTTGCTTCTGAGAAGACGAGAAAACCCAACGTACAAAAACCAGAGAATCTTCTACTTAGCTAAACCAAAGCTAGTTTGTGAATCGAGTGAGCGACGGGGTTGTAAGGCTAGGCCAGTAGGCTTGATTTTCACGCTTCCAAAATGAATGAATGAATGAAGCCTCTTCTTTCTTTTTCTTTTTTGCTTTTTTGTTTGTTTGTTTTGCAATTGTGATTAAAATTTTGAACCCGGGAGATTAGGATCCCTACCCAATGTTAGTCCAAATTTAAAGACGTACACTACGTTTCATATTCGAGAACAAAAATATTGTCCCTTTTGAGGCCAAAAGAAAAAAATTGACAAAATTCAGGAAATCAAATGAGAATTTTGAGTAGCATATAGGGTATCAACTCTCTTGTACCTAAATCATGAATTATTTTTTTGTTCTTCTCAATAGGAAGGGAGCTATAGCAAAATTAATATTAGGTTTTTCTACATCTTTATCGGGGGTTTGGGTGGTTATTCATTTGTCTTTTATTATAACGAAAGTGTTTGATAATTCAGGGTTTATAGAGAGATTTCAGTAGAGCGGTCAGTATGTGACGATAATTTTAATGTATATTATTAGAACACGCCACACAGTGTAACAAAAAGATGAGTTTTTTTTTTACTCTCTTGACATTAAATTGTGATATCTTAGCAATTTTTAAAATGGTTGGGACAAAATTAACAATGGGCCATGCCTTCAAAAGAAATAAGAGGCAAATTGGGCGTGAGACTTTGTTTTTCGAAAGGGAAGGAATTGGGCCGTGTAGAATTTTAAATAAGAAAAAGTTTGGCTCTTTCAAATTGAGTCGGTCCAAATCAGAAATGTTTTGCCTCCACTTTTCATGTGAGTTTAGCTTAAAAATACAAGTTAGGCAGAACATTAAATGCTCTTCATGGCTCATGTCTAAAACCAAACCAATTCCACGCAAACTACTGGATTTTTTTTTTGGGAGATTCACTATTATACCCAATATAAGAGTTCAAATTAAAAAAAAAAAAACCTATATGAAATTGACTTTAGAAACACACCCAAAGCCCATTTACAACATAACAAAAATACTTTTAACTTTTTTTAAATTACAAAACTGTCATTGATTTCTTAAAACAAACCCAACCCCAAAACCTCATAAAAAAAAACCCAAAACACTCAATAGGGCATCAAAGTAATTTAATAATCAAAATTAAATTCAATAGGGTCAGCTGTCATTTTTTGGGTTTTTTTTTTTTTGGTTTGTTTATAGAAATTAAATGGTGTGGAGTTTATCTATATTATTAGTACTAAGAATGAGTATATATATATATATATACAATCCAACCTTGCTTAATTTCAACAAAGATTGAAGTGGCACTATATTATCATAAAATCAAGACTAAACAAGGGACACGCACTCGATCTCTCAAAAAACATTTCAACTTTATTAACTTGGTATCAACTCTTCTTGCAGCCTTAGGATGATACTAGTGAAGAGGTGATAGTCTTCAATGGAAAAAGCTTCAACAAGGACAACACAATAACCTCTGAGTGATTTTATAGATATAAACATCCAAGAGTGATCTTTGGACACCAAACTCCAACATTTTTTCTACCACGTGATCATTGCGTAAATTGGCCTCCCCCAACGCAAGAAACATAGAGAAGAAGGCTACCTGCATTCACTAGATTCTCGAGGCATTGCCGCACTTTTTGAAAATGTGCATGTTATGTTAGGGTGTTTGATGTGTTTTTCAATTGTTGTGTATGTTTCAGCATCCCACATCGAGAAAACTCAAAATTTGGAAAAAGATAGGGGAGTATAAGAGTGGGTTGGGTGCGGCATGTGAAACATACTTACCTGGACGGGGTTAATGGGCGATCATGAAGGCCCATGGCCTAGGAAGGTGACCTCCATTGCACTTGGGAGGGGTGCCTGCTTATGGTCTCCCTAAATTGGGAGAGCCAACGTCATAATTTGTGTTAGTGGGGGCCTGCGTTCGCGCGGCCCCTGCCCAATTTAGTTCATCTAAGTTTGCCTCAATATTAAATTAAGAGCTTCATTGAGATGACTTTGAATCAAGCAAACATCTGATATCAGCGATATGTTGTATATTACCTTCTAATGAGGGTGCTGATGATCAAGCCTTGAAGGTGGCTGACATTGTTGACACATTTAGGTTTGAAGAACCCTAAGCCCCCAAAAACCCCTCCAAAATCGAGTCTAATTAGGAATGGAGGGAGAGCCAACTTGGAAATGGCACGATTGGATCAAATTGCCCCTCCATGTGAGGGGCACATGTTCAAAAAGTAACAGAAGCTAGAAACATTTGAAAAAAAATTCGCGATTAGAAACTACATGAACCAAAAATGACTTTTTGTCCAACTTGTATATGTAATAAAGAAATTGGATCAAATTGCCCCTCCTGATGATTCTCAACTTATTAGTTAAAATTGAATAAGAGGTTTACTGAGACAATATATGTATATAAAAAAGCTATTTAATTACATATTTTCCCAAAGGAATTACAATGTAAAAAAGCTATTTAATAATTTAAAGAAGACAAAAAAAGGAAAAACACTGTAAAATTTCTCTACACTTCGATAATTTTATTCAAGAAACCCCTGACGGCCTATTTCCTGCCTAAAGTTGGGATTTTTGTCTTCCAAAAGAATGCTGTTTCCCCCACATCAATCATAATTGATCTCTCTATTAACATAAAAATCTGAGGCCTGCTATCAAACCAAAACTCAAAACCCTGACAAAATTGATGCTGCTATGTGCTGTTTCCTTTGGCCTTTTTCCCCTTTTCTAGTAGGAAGCATTGCTATGTGCACAGAAGCCGAGTCTTCCTCGGGAACATATAAACAAGAGAATTGTTTCACATCATACCTGTGCCCTATAAGTTGATGAGTTAAATTTGCTGGTCATCTCATGCTTTAGGAATAGCGCATAGAGTAGCTCATTCCATGTGTCAGGGACTCCAGGCAGACACCAGTGGCTGCAGTCTTGGCGATGGAGAGGCGCAGGGCCAACTTCAGGACCCAAATAGTACAAAGACGAATGCCCATCTTTTCTTCGTGCAGTCATTCGAGTTACATTTAATATATCAATTTCCGTTGCCTTTGATGTGTTTGAGTGAGCTGATAGCACAGCATTGGCTATCCTGAATTGATCCCAAGATTGAGAAGGAACCAATGTGGACCCTAGCTCAGGCAGAGTCTCCGAATGGCAGTTTCCCCCCGTCTTCCAATCCCCGCCTCTGCATTATTCATAAAGAGCACTTCAGCTTTTCAATAAGGATAAACATAGTATCTTACTTCCCGAGCAAAGGGAAACATACATAAGACATGAAAAATTGATCATCCCAAAAATCTCTAAAGACGTCTAACGGATGCTGAATGGTTGATAGGATATACGTTGGAAAGGGAAAAAAACAGATTATTTCAAGTAACAAAAACAAACCTGAAATGCACAGGGGCGTATGTTCGAAAGAAAACCTGAGTCTTGCTTGAATTTACTTTAGTGTCTATCCAGTGCACCACAGTCTCCATGGAGCGTTGATATGCATCTTCTACGCTCATTTCCATCTTTACTTCTGCCCCTACCTGGAAGTAACAACCCCTGAAGAAAAAAAACACATATTGAAACTTTTAATCTTTCTACCAGGAGGAAAGATCCAGACAAAGAAAGCTCAATAAGTTTAAAACTTAAACATGATTAAGGCATGTCACTTAGAAATGCACTATTTTTGCTTATTTTACCAAATAATTTCCCCTTTCCTTCATGTCGATTTTATCCCCACATATAACAAGTCCTAAAGCCCCAGTCCACCATTTTAGTAATATAACTTGCAAAACTCCAGACATTCCAGACAGCCATCCTTGAGATTCCTTACAAGTCCAAACACCTATAGCATCAACTTTCAACCAAAATATAGGTTGAGGTGACCCAACTATTTAGTGAAAACATTTATTTAGTTACCAAATACTTTCTTTCTGTTCTTAAAAAAATCAAAATCTGGAAAGCTAAAAACAAAGAAAAAGGTTGGGGGTGGATCAAACCATTTGCCTCCTAGCCCCTTCAAAATCCTTCATTGAATATTATTAATAACAAAGTGAAAGGTTCATGCTGAATGCAAATGGAGAATCTTGTAAAGTAGTCAAAGAGTATTAAGATTTAACATTACGCTCTTATAGTCTTCTCATAATTCCACCAGTGCCCTGTGTTGAAGACCAACACATCTGCATCTCTCCACTTTGCAGAATTCCAGTCCATTTGATCCACTTTCATAGTTGTTCTGACATTTTGTAAAGTTCCAGGAGGACGGCGGCTCTGAAGTACTAGAAATGGAGACCTGTAGTACTCAACAGTGCAGTTAAAATCCTTAAATTTGAACACCAAGAACCCTTTGTGCTTAGTAATTGGGTTGCCATTCACTTCATAGATTGAATCCTTATTAGGAATTGCAGAAGAGAGCATGCAGAGGAGTGATTCCCATTGGTTTCTTCCAATTGAATCACCAACAAACACTAGCCGCTTGCCACGCAGTTTTTCTAACATCAACTTCGCATCAAATCTGTTTATTAACCACAGGAAAATGACACTCTTGTTAGCTGATTTTATGTACCTTTTGAAAATTGAGAAATGCTGTTTCAAAGTTCTCAAGATAGTTGGCAACTAAATCTTTTGCCTAAGTTTCCGAGTACTATTGTTGGAAAAGCAAAAAAATAAAAAAATAAAAATCCTAGACTAATCTATCCAATCAAAGAATTAATTTTAAGAAAAATGAAATTTTCATAATTGCAATAATTCTAAAATCTCACCATCAGGATTCAAACATACATAAAATTACAAAACAAATGAAGAATGGCACTACAAATCAAACTGCATTTATTTATCACAAGCACTCTCACAAGAAGCCTAAGACGAAACTCAAAAAGTGTCACCATCAGGATTCAAACATACATAGAATGGCACTACAAATCAAATCATAGAGTATAATCAAAATCGAATGGCACTAAAATTCAAACTGCATTTATTTATCACAAGCACTCTCACAAGAAGCCTAAGATGAAACTCAAAAAGTGTCACTATCAGGATAGACATTTTACCCAACCATGACAATTACACCCATTAAGACACACAGACACGGAGAACACACAACGCTAAAAACAGTGGGAGTAAATATTAATCAAATACACCCAATTAGCGTTACCTAATCGTTTGGTTGCTGAGAAAATCAGAAATACATAAAGCATGTTAGCTGATTTAGTTTCCTATGTAGGGACTCAACTCAACCAATCGAACTTCTAGTCCTAGAAGAGAAACTGAGGCTGTGAAAATAGAGAAACCCAATAGAAATCACAGAAAAAGTTAAAAATTAAAAGTACCTAGGCAAGTTGCAATGTCTGGGTTGCCATCTCCACTTGGTATAAAATAAATCAGGCCGGCCATTCTCAGTGCACCTAAAGCCGTCATCCAAAAAGCGGCAATCTTTGGAGTTATACAAAGGGTAGGACTCATCCCACACCCAATCCCCTTCAAACACATCACACCCACCACCCTTTTGTTCTAAAAACTCAACCCTCGGATCCTTGACCGACCCGTTTGTCTGCAGCCACATAAACCGCTCCGATTGTCCCGGGAACCGAAACCCTTTAACCACAGCTCTATAATCCAAGTAGAAGAAGCACAAAATTACACAGACACTGGCAAAGAAGAAACCCAAAACGCCCAAAGACGGCTCAAAGAGCTTGAAACGCTTAAACTTCTTAAAAACTTCAAAGAATGGCATGGTTTCAGGCTCAGGCTGGTGAGATGGGTCCTTAGACATTGGAGCTCAAACTCAGATTTTGGGATGTGGGTTGTGCTTCTCTAACGGTATTGATTAAGACAAAGTGAAAGTTTGATGGGTTGAAAGCAGATAGGTGTGGAGCACAAGCAAAATAGCATTCATAGCCTAATATGGGGATCGAGAAAGAAAAAAAGGGTCCTATTTGGGCTTTTGCTTTGCTTTGCTTGGTAGGTCAGTAATATTAGTTTGTAATGAATGACAAACAGAGCTTAAAAGAGCGAGCGATATGGGTGTGTGAAGGAAGCAAAGAAGCATTCATGGCGGAGGTTACAAGTATATATATATATATATACTTCACCTTTTTCTCTTCTTTACTTTATGGAAGGAAATAAAATTCTGATTGTGGGGGTGATTGGTGTAAAGCAGAGTAAATTTGAGCCATTAATAATACAGATGTGGGTCTTATCTGCAGAGATATGCTTCTGTTTAATGAGGGATTGAGTTTCCAAATAGACCAAAGACCAAATCGAAATAGAAATATTATTAGATAGAGATGGAAGGAGAGCAAAGGACAAGAATTTCAACAATCAAAACCAATGGGAGTCTGATGAAGATTATGATGAGAGAGAAACAGAGAGACTTGGGTTTGAGTTTTAAGGTTTTAGAGAGAGAAAGAGAGAGGGTTTGGTCCACTCGTGACCAACTGATAATTGCCATGAGTTATTGCGTTAGTGGAGAGACGAAAGTGCGTAACGGATAGGCGGGTGCCATGTTTTTCTAAGAGAACGTGAGATGCAGGGAATGGGAAACAGAGGAGAAGTCTCTGGGTCGTGTTGTGCACGTGGAGAAGATGGAGCGTCGTTTTGGGTTTTTACTCCGTACTGAGTATTGACGAACGATAATCCCGACACCACTTCACTGTGGCTGTAAAGCGGTCTTTGATAGAATAATATATAAAACTTTTATTTTCGTAATATTTATTATTTATCACCCTCTTCATCTTTTTTCTGAAAATAAAAAAAATAAAGTCACATACATGTTTCTTTAATGTGAAAAAATAATTGTTTTTGGGGATTTTTTTAATTAAAGAAAAAGTAATATTCAAAGAGTACGTTTCAATTTTGCATCTAAATTTTGACAATCGACTTAGCACTTTGCTCTTTGAAACTTCATAACGTTAACAAATCAGGCAAATCTCATTATGGGAAACGTAAGCATGAACCACTTTTTTTAAAGTTATTTTGTTTACTGGAGTTACCAGGGGGAATCACATTTCTTTTTGTAATCATTCTAATAATTTACCAATTGAGGTAGTTAAAGTTGTTTGAGTTTTTCCACTCCACGGAAGATCGAAATCCTCGAATACCAAATGAAGATTTGTATAAACCCTTCTCCCTCAATCGCTTGTGCAAGTGGTGCCACCGCACAGGGCCTCCAATTTTTTTAATGTGTATAATATATGTATATATTAACAAATGTTATATATATACCGAGTGAGCAAACTTTTAACACAAAGACGTTTCTAGTTGTGTTGGTTTGCAGAGCCTCAAATTCTATTCAGGGCGCAACTTCAAAACCCGCTTGTGTAGATCATAGTTTTTGTTTTTTTTTTTTTTGTAACAAAAATTAATAATCATAATAATAATAAAAAGTCAAACACGTTATTTTCTGTAAGTAATAATCATCTCTCTTTGGCTCTCTTTTTTAATCCTTTGATATATATATATTTCAATTTCAAGGATTTCAACACAAAAAATAGACCAAAAAAATTCATAAATGTCACTCAAAAGCAAATTGTCAGATTTAAATCTGAATTCAAATCAAGTGTGTATCTAAATTTCAATTTATATATACTAAATGACTTACTTCATTATCATGTTGATTGGTTATATAATGAAAGATGATTTAATTTGTAATTTGTATGCTAATTGATGATCATTTTTACTTTAAGAAAATCTTGAGGCAATCTTGAGGATTTTTGCACAGTGCATCTGAGTTCGATTCACGTAAAAGACAATCTTGAAGCAACCCAATATAATGCTACCTCATTTCCCTCCCTATCGAATGAAAAAAATAAAATAAAAAAGATCAAATTGCAAAAAGTAGTATAAAAATTGAGAATTTATCAAAAATAGCCAAAATTTGATCCTTAATTTCAAAAATGTCAGTTTTTGTAAAATATTTCAAATATAGCAAAAAACTCACATAAATAGACACAAATGCCCTCAAATTTAAAACCCGTATAAACCTAAAAAATAAACCTTATTAAATAAAAATTTGGAATATTTTTAACCCACGTTTGTATAGAAGAACAAAAGTTGAAATATATCATCCTATTTGTTGATATTTTAATCAATTTAAATTTAGTCCCAATCCAAGCATCACCAAACACCGAATAAGTGTTATTCAACTTAAGCCAATTCAAGCCAAGACAATTTCTGAGCATAGTTCACGCCAAGAGAATCTTCCGAAACAAATGAGGCTGAAGGGACCAACTTGGCAAATGACTGAAAGACCCGTTGCCGGATCAATTGCTCAAGTGTGTCCGAATGACACCATTATTTTGTCTTCTCTGATGGACCAATTCGCCGAGTGTTCCGCACACGCATAAATGCTGCACTGGCTTCTCAAAGAAGCTAATAAGTTTCAAAATTAGCAGCCCATCCCACACGTCACGTTGCCTTTTAAAATTCACACAAACATATTTGTACAATTTGAGTGACGAAGTCAAAAGAATTTTCCACAGAAAAGAATTGATTTGTAGGCCAAAGAAAAATCAAATCATGATATAAGTCGGTGTTCCCATCATTTTCCACTAAAAAATTATATCCTTATTGCGGAGCTTAGTTGGTTGAATTTTTCCTTTTTGTTGTATTGTTGTGCCCTTTTGTGGTTTCTTAATAAAATTTAGGGTTTATCCAATATAAGTCCCTACAATTTCTACTTCCTAGACATATACTCATCATTCTATAAATCATAAATCTATGTGTAAAACTCAATTTTAAACTTAAATGACCAGTAAGATATAAGCGATTATAATATTCCTATGTTTTTACATCGTTGCCATCATACTTTATATTTTATTTATAATGTATTCCAAGCATTTCATTAACTGCCATAATTGTAATTAAAACTCCCTATTAATAACTAAAATGCAAATTAAATATAAAAGGGAATTAAAAACCATAGAAGTTAGGAAAGGAAGTTTAAAGTGCAGTAATCTGTAGACTGAGAAAACTTTTATCTTGATGTGAATGGAAAAAGTCTGGCTTATGTTTCTTATGCTTCACAATTCAGATTCACTATATACAATTTTCTGTTTAATTCAACAACAACAACAAAAAAACAATTGTTGTTTTTCAATTGTTTTTGGATGCCTACCCTATATGTAATATAATATAGTAAGAAGAATAGACGAAGAAGAAACTGAATGAAGAATCAAGGAAGAACTGCACTTATTGTTTGATTAGGGCAGCAATACGTCTGCAAACGTATGTACAAAGATTCCCAATCTAATAGGGTTTTCTTTTTTAGGTTTATGTGGGTTTTAAATTTGAGCGCATTTGTGTATATTTAGATGAGTTTTTTGCTATATTTGAAATATTTTACAAAAAGTGACATTTTTGAAATTGGGGGTCAAGTTTGGCTACTTTTGATAAATTCTCATAAAAATTATAGTTGAAAATTTATTATGTACATGAACAATAAAATTTCTTTAAAGAACAGAGTCATATGCAAATGTGACCTAGCTAGCAGCAAAACCACCATAATGACAATAAGGGTCAAATTAAAATTTTGGTTTGTTTTTTTTTTTAAACTGATTGTTTTCGTTGAAAAATGAAAACTGCTCAGCTATCTGTCAATCACATAATGTTGCAACCACAGTTTAAAGCAGCTTGTCCGATGTCAACACCAACATTCAATATCCCAGCTACTTTCACAACCACATACTGAAATAATAAATACCCGATCACAAGGAATTAGTCAGTAATTAAGTAGGCAAAGGTCATGCTCCCTATTTTTTAGTTAAAATTTAGCTAAAAACACACAAAAGTTATTTTTGGAACTCAATAAAATTTGAACTCCAATCATACTCCCTAAGTTAGAAAGTCATAAACACTATATAGTTATTTTTTAATTCAATATGATTGGTTATCATCTCTATTAAAAAAAAAAATAGTTTGTATATATTAAAAGTTTAAACTATGCATAAAACGAAACAACATTAAATTATAAGGAGCCACTAGGAGTCCTTTCTCTCTCCTCAGATTTAAGAGTTCCTAGAGTTCTCTTTATTTTAGGAGGTGGATAGGGAGCATGGTTGGAGTTGTATTTTTCCAATTCCTCCCTAAAATTTGTCTAAGGAGGTGGTTTAAGGACCCCATTGTGGATGCTTTAAGTGCGAGTAATTATAGTGTATGTAGTATGAGAGTATGTCACATGGTATAACTCGTTTATTAGAATATATAAATGGATATTTATTGATATTATATCATAAAAGTGGAAAATATTAACCATATTGCACATCCATATTATAACACGTGGACGCAGTAAAGCGTACGTACATGTGGGTTTTCGGCAAGTCATTAGACACAAACAAGTTTAAACACTTAAATCAATCTCAAAAACATGATTTCATTGAAATAGATCCAACAACTAAGCACCTCATTACTCAAATGATGACACTAAATCTCTCAACTGCATGCGTGCCACTATATATATATATATATATTCTTCAGCAAGAATATTCTAATTGCCCCAATAATATCTATGTTCCTATGTGCAGACATTGCTTGTCACGTGCGTACGTCCCCACCATTGACTTGACGCTAGCTCTTCAATTATTCATGTAGATTTTTTTTTTCAAGTGCCCATAGAGATAAGACTTCCATATATAGGGCTCACCTCGATTAAAAATGTGGTTAGTAAAGTGGTACACGATTGTTTTTATATATTCTCATATATTCAATTTTGCAAAAATAATGCATCCAACTAACTCAATCAAAAAAATTGCATCCAATTAATGATGTTCTTGGAATATTGATACAAAATAAATTAGGTGTTAAAAAATATTTAATATCTGAATATGATCTATGATGACAAAGACTCATCGTCACAATTCAAAAGGTGTAACATCCCTGACCCAATTTAATCGATTTAAATCGACAAAGACTCATCGTCACAATCATGATCTCTTTATTTTAGGAGGTGAATAGGGAGCATGGTTGGAGTTGTATTTTTCCAATTCCTCCCTAAAATTTGTCTAAGAATGTGGTTTAGGGACCCCATTGTGGATGCTTTAAGTGCGAGTAATTATAGTGTATGTAGTATGAGAGTATGTCACATGGTATAACTAGTTTGTTAGAATATATAAGTGGATATTTATTGATATTATATCATAAAAGTGGGAAATATTAAGCATATCGTACATCCATATTATAACACGTAGACGCAGTAAAGCGTACGTACGTGTGGGTTTTTGGCAAGTCATTAGATACAAACAAGTTTAAACACTTAAATCAATCTCAACCACATGATTTCATTGAAATAGATCCAACAACTAAGCACCTCATTCCTCAAATGATGACACTAAATCTCTCAACTGCATGCATGCCAATATATATATATATATATATATTCTTCACACTACTACAAAAATGGAAAACTACGACACTTATTTAACGACGGTAAAACTAAAAAGCGTCGTGTTTTTAAAAACCACAAAAAACC